TTGTTCCACATAGAACAGTTGCATACATTTGAAAACGGCAAATTCTTACTAGAAAACATCCAGCCTCATACTGAGTGCTCACTGTATGTGGATACCCTGTACTAGGTCTAGGAGCTATGGAGGTCTAGCTCCATGTATTTCCCTTAGGGTTCCTATGCTCTATTATGAAAAGAAATCATTCAGATAACCATCAAGGGAGTCCAAGGTAGCTGCTCTATAACCAAACTTCTTCGGTTCAAATCTTGGCCATTTATTGGAAGTTCTGCTGTGAGCTCCTTAATCTCTTTGGGCTTCTGCTTTCTCATCTGTGAAATGAAATGATAAACTCATCTCATTATTTTTTAAGGCTTTAAATGAGTTAAAATGCGTAAAGCATTAGAACAGAGCCTGGAACATATGTATATCATGTAAGTGATTAAAATCCAATGAAAGTTATCAATACACAAGTTATTCTGACAAATAACAGAATATTTTTCTCTTGAATCTTGACATCAATACTTTCATGATCATGAAACCATAGGAATTAATGAAGCATTTTCTCTTTTGAGAACATTAATTTATTCTTTGTGTTTGTGGTTCAAAGGGGGAAGGGAGGAGTGTACAGTTTTCCTATTCCTGTTCTTTCTCAATATAATTTTGAGAAACTATTTAATCTATAAAAGAGGTCTGAAATGTGACTTTTATAAAAGCAATAATAACCCCACCTGACTCCTATTCCAGCCCAATGGATTCTGGAGGTCACTGACATCTGAGCTCAACAGACCCTTCAAAACAAAAGGAAAATATATCAAATGTTAGTCAAGTGCTGTGACCCAAAGGAACAATCAGATAGATCATTTTCAGTGGCGTGCCATACATAGAGAATAAATACATAACTGAAGATTATACTAAGATCTTGGAGCATGGTTACCCTTTTGTGAATCCCCATGTGGCATGATCTATCACTTGGTCTTAAGTCTTCTGGAATAAAACAACTTCTGTAAATAAGTAATTGATTTTGAATATTATAAGGAAGTAGACTGTGAATGAACTTGAATTTCTATTAAAAATTATTTCCCAGAACAAGGCATGATTTAGTCCACTACTATATTTGTTTATTGGGGAAAGGTTTGCCCTGGTATGGTGAAGAGACCACTGAAAGCTAATGAAGGGGCACCCACCAGAGCTTGGTGTACCATGATGTGACAAACAAGAGCCACCATTGAATCAAGGAGATCCAAGACTTCTACCAGAAACTCCACAAGAGCCCTAACCAGTTTGGCTCAGTGGATAGAGAGTCGGTCTGCGGACTCAAGGGTCCCAGGTTTGATTCCGGTCAAGGGCATGTACCTTGATTGCGGGCACATCCCCAGTAGGGGGTGTGCAAGAGGCAGCTGATTGATGTTTCTCTCTCATAAATGTTTCTAACTCTCCATCCCTCTCCCTTCCTCTCTGTAAAAGATCAATAAAATATATTTAAAAAAAAAGAAACTCCACAAGGTAATTTAAATAGAAGTGTCAAATGCTGTTTGGCTTTTTCTTCCCTTTGGGTTTTTGAAGCTCATGAAGATTCCAAAAAGAAGTCAGCTATTTTTTTAATCCCCTGGGATAGTCCAGAGTCAGAGGTAGTGCTGGTCTTTGGCACTCTTAAGTTCACCATCCTGAGCTTGGGCAGTTTGGCAAGAATGGGGACTCAAGACTTGAGGATTGGTCACATTATTGGCTTTTTCTCTGGAACCCTTGTTTCTTTATGTCTCATGACTATTTACAACTCTTTTCTTATACTAGGGCTTCATCATCCCACATGAGGGGTTTATTTCCTGGGTTCTGAATTCCCTTCATTTAAAATACTGCCTGGTTGTTTGATTAGTGCTTGTTAGTCAAAAAACAGATTATCTCCAACTTTGGTATATCATATATATGTCTTTTCTTGTCCCAGTTTTCTTATAACTTTGCCATTTCTCTTCTTAGTTCTGGTATTATTTAGTGTTTCCATAGCATGTTAGAGCCACTTCCTTGTAATCATTTTTAGTAGTTAAACAACAAATCATATGCAGCACATGAGACAGTACATTGCCAAAGAATGAAATGAAAAAACTCCGCTAAACCAAGCTTCATAATCTCTTTTTTTAAAATATATTTTTATTGATTTTTTACAGAGAGGAAGGGAGAGGGATAGAGAGTTAGAAACATCGATCAGCTGCCTCCTGCATGCCCCCTACCGGGGATGTGCCCGCAGCCAAGGTACATGCCCTGGACCGGAATCAAACCTGGGACCCTTGAGTCCGCAGGCCAATGCTCTATCCACTGAGCCAAACCGGTTAGGGCCATAATCTCTTTTAAATAAAATTCTACTGTGTCATAGTGTGGTCTCTGTTTTTAAAACTTGAGCCATTAACCTACTTTCAGAGAGGGTACTACAAGGTCTACTGCATGAGTGATTTAGATTTACAGTTGAACTAAGAATATCGTGGACTGCTTCCTAGAGTTAAAAAAAAAGAAAAAGACTTATTTGAAAAAATGTTTCTGGAATGTAACTATTGGATTTAAAATTTTTGTTTATTTCCTAAAGGCTTATACTATTTTGGAATTTCTTCAAATTTTCTCGAACAGGTTACATATTCTAAAATAGAAATTCCTACTTGCCTTGTTATCTGATCACAAATACATTCCAGAATAATCCCTGACACATAACTATTTGTTCAGTAACTATTTGTTGACACTTTGGCCTTCTATATTTCTTCATAGTAGGGTATTGTTTCCTTTTAAGCATAATATTCAATAAATTCCATGTGCCATTGTGTGATTTTTCTTAGGCATTTACATAATAACTCTTTACCTCTCTAAAATCCAGCTATTTAGTAGTCTCACCAATGTGGAACCTGAACCTAACTAAGATAAAGAAAAAAATGACTGATGCCTACTATAAGAGTTTAATATATTCTGTTTTAAAAGGCAGGGAAACATGATACATCTGGGAAATCATTTCATCCCAAAGGTTTGATAAGGTGCAGTACTATAATCAAATGTATCAGGGTGGCTGTCAGCAAGTCGATTCATCTCTTTGGCTTTGCTTTTCTTATCCCTTAAATGTGAGAGCTCTACTCTCATCTCTAAGGCCCCTTCCAACTCTAAGACTTCTATAATTCTCCATCTACCTCCTCTTTCCAGGCCTTTTTGCTCATCTGTAAAATGAGGGGGTGGACAAGTATCAAAGTCTTAACTATATGTGACTTATTTAAAGGAATGAACTTAAATCTATCCAGAAAACCTAGCTATCTAGAATGGCCACTCCTCTAGGGTATTGGTTAGAAAAGATTTTATAGCAATATATAGTCAAAAAGACTAGTTTAGTGCCTAGGAAAACATTTGGGACTGGTTAAAATTGGGGAAAAATCCTACTTCTTCATAGGGAATGTTGACTTTCATGTATATAATTACCATGTTGTTGGATGTTTTCTCCCCCTCTTCTAGGCTGTTTGCGATAAGAGGGGGCAAGTTTTTCTTCTGTTCCTCAGGGTACTGTTGATAAGTGGTATGCAACATCACACCCCGAGCAGGTGAAGTGCACTGCTGTACAGCCCTGTATCCCTGCATCTGTTCTCTGCAGCCGTATCTGCTTTCAAAAGTCTGTGTTTGCAGAACTGGTTGGTACTGATAGAGAGGAATGCACTAATCCTCTGATACTGACTCCAAAAGAGGCGGGTGGGGCAGAGAGAATAGGGAGACCAGAATATTTGGTTAGCAGCCAGTCTGTGATACGTAGCCAGGATGCTTTCTAAGCATTGATGGAAATGAGTGACAGGATGGTATGAGCAATTCCATGCCCAAGATAATTTCACTTTATGAAAGTAGGAAGATGAAACTAAGTCTCATTTCTCTGCAGAGGATGGCCAGTCCAATCTAGTATAGTACTGCTTTCACCCTAGCTCTTCCCCTTCCTCATGAACTTTCAGTAGTCCTGTCTGGTTATGCCTGATGTTGAAGCCCCTTTAAATTCTGTCCATGCACACACTCCTTCCTATGTATCCAACCTTATCTCCCACAATTCCTCAACCCCATTCTAAGATGCCAGGATATGCTTGATACATTCTCTTGCAGCTTTTGTTCATTTAGTGCTTTCAAATTGCATGTTCTTCCTAATAACTTAAATCCAATCTCTTCTTCAAAATTTAACTGCAGTCCCACTTTTTTCAGCAGGTGTTCCCTGAGGACTCTGCTTTATTGCTCCCAAGCTTTGGAAGGCCCTCACGTAACTGCAAGTTTAAATTTATTCATATTCTTCCCTGTAGATTACATTAATGTTGCCTTCTGCACAACTATAGGTATAGAATGGAGTACATACGAGGGTACCCTTATTTTGTTTTTTTTTTGTTGTTTGTTTGTTATGCTTCTATTGTGCCCTTTATTCATACAGAAAAAAATTTTGGAAATGCTTTCACCCCAGCCATTTATACCTCCCGAGTACTCGAGGGTACCCTTCTAAACCTTGATTAGTGGGTTAAGTTTCAAAGGCAGTTTTTGAAAAGAAAGGTGTTTTCTAGTCTGGCAAGGCAAACACAGTGATGGTAGAGGCCATAATAGCAAGCCATGCACAGTGGACAGGTAAAGTAGCCTCTACTAATGCGTCTCATGGATGATCCTGGAAAGATATTTGTAAAAGAACTTTGAAATAATTGAGTCATTGAATGTGAGTGAGAGTGCATATGTGGCTGACAGAGATTGAGAGACAGGAAGGAGGAGTGAGAGTTTACAGAGAGTACCTGGAGCTTGGTTATTTAAGGTAATGCAATGTTAATCCCTATCTTCCCCCAATCCTTCTTCCCAGTGCCCACCTTCTTTTTTATCTAACCTTGCTCTATTTCACCTCTTCAGGAAGCAGTCCAGGCCTGCTAAATGTGATTCATCACAACTGTTCTTAAGTTAAAGTCATGGCCAAGCCTTCAAGGTCATATTGATAGACTTGCAACTCCTGTGTCTATCTTTGCTCCCAACACTGTTTCTTTCTTCTCCCAAATTAGGTAACACCCACAGCCCAGTGTACCCAAGCCTTGTTGAAGATGATTTACTGCTCCCACTGCCAGGGGCTAGTGACTGTGAAGCCATGTTACAACTACTGCTCGAACATCATGAGAGGCTGTTTGGCCAACCAAGGAGATCTTGATTCTGAGTGGAACAATTTCATAGGTGAGCAAGCGATTCATGTATTTGTGTCGCTGGAAATAGTTCAGCTTCCTGCCACAAGGAGTATTGCAATTGTCAGCTATGAAATTTCTATTTGTTATTTAATGTTTGCCCATTTTAACTCTACTCAAAGTTCATACTATTCTACAAGTAAATGTTCCCTTGAACTAATAATGGCATTTTGAAGACATTTGACTCAGTGAATACTAAGTTTTAATAATGAGAAAATGGCTTTTGACATTTTTCCCCAAAGGCCAGTTTGGGTAATGCATCATGGGCTAGTATCCATAAAATGGTAGTTTACAGTCATCACTATGCTGCAAAAGTGGCTTTGAAAATATTGTATCTGTTACACTGCAACTAAATCTTCTGCACACTGGCCAGATACCCATTGGATATTTGGATCAAGTGAAATATGACTGTAGAAATTTAGGGGGTTCTCTTTCTATAGAGGATTTAACAATAACAGGCTACTCTGATGAGATGGAAAAATGTTTACCTTGATAATTTTAGAGGTAAATATTGTTGCATATACTTAAAACCTACAAAACCATTACTGGAACCCAGACAGCAGTGTAGTGAAGTGGCCAGTTTCTAAGAGGGTTAATTATGATTTGTGGGAAAGGATAAATTAAGGATGATTTAAATATCCACTCATTGACTCCCTTGATGCCTACCAAATACACATGTTAGTCCTGAAGCATCAGTGTTGAAGCCCCTAATACTGAGGGTCTAGTTGGACCACACACACATACTAATAGCTCATACGAGCAGACTCAGATTTTTTTCCATCCCCAGTCACATTTGCATAATTGCAGAATTTGAGTATTTTTATAAGCATCTATTTTTCACTTATTTGTCCACATCACGGGAACATGTATGCAATGTGCTGGCTTTTTTTTCGGGGGGGGGGGGTGGGGATTGGTTGTGGGGAATGCTTTTTAGTCTGCAAGAGAGCTAATTATCATTTTAACTCTGTTTGAAAGTGCATCAATAAATTGGCTCCAACAGATTCTTGCTAACACTGACACAGGAAAGAAAAAGATGTGAATATTAAGCACTTCAGCACAATTGTAGCCTAAATAGCTCAAAGCTAGAAGACCTGAAAAAAAATCTTCTATGCACAGAAAAGCAGAATCCCATGAAAGGGAAGGCGTAAGACCAGCAAAGACATACACTCACAAATGTCACATCATGCCCAGAATGAAGCATGGGAGAGAGTGTTGCTTTAAAATATTCCAAATGGAAATAAAAGCCCATGGCACTTGCAGATCTAAAGTTGATGTTTTTTTATTTCTCTTTTTTTTAGTCCCACTGTCACCCCATACCCAAATGTCAAGTTTGCAATTTATTTTTGCTACATTTATTTGTTTTAAGTTAGTAGCCTTTTCACTTTCCCCTATAACTTCTAGCCCACTAGTTCTCTGGGCAAAAGGAATAGAATTTGCCACATGGTACAAAAAATGTATGTGACAGTGATCTAGTTTTGCTAACCTTTCTGCAGACACATCAATAATAAGGTGCAGAAGGGCATGCCATTTGCACTATCCTATTATTCTAATATTCTGGCCAAAACTATAACTCATATCCTGTATTAAAATACAAATTCTTATACATATATTTCCAAGAGTTTGCAGGTTCATATGAAATCAAAACCATACTTGGCTTGCTTAATAAATATTCTCAATAAGGTTACCTAAAACAAGGAGGGCTTAAGTTCTTGTTGTGTGTTTTAAAAATGACATTTGTTATCTTTCAATAAGTAAAATTAAACACAAGTAGAAATTGGTAGAATTTCTGAGTTAATTTTCCTCAGTTATTTTAAATGATACTTTTTGGAGGGCTGAGGTGTATAATTGTATTTAAACTTTATGTTTAATGGGTATTTTACTCTTTATTTTAATAAGCTGATATAAAAGGCCAAGAATAATAGACATTGTTAATCTCCGGTGCTTTTTCATGAATTTTCACAAGGGTCTAATTAATTTGCTCTGTGGTTGCAGAATTCAGCCCCAATTTACATGCCTCTGCCATACGTGCTGTAAGGTGTTTTTTTTCTTTGTAAGGAATTTTTCTTTCCCCTTTATATGATTGCAGTTAATGAATGGTCAAAGGTTTTTTTTCTCCCACTTCTCTAAATCAGATCTTGGGGTTAAGTCGGGAAACTGCCTTTTGTTCTTCCAGTCCAGTCGTGAGGCCAGTGCAAAAGGAATCGCTTTCCCTAGTGAGGAGGGATGGCTTTGTTGCTGGGGCGGGGAGCAACTCAGTGCTGAGATCCTGAGCACTGAAATCCTGCAGTTGGACTAGACCTGTGGTCCCCAACATGGGGCACACGCACCACAGGGGGTGCAATTTGATTTTTAAGGGGGGCAATTTGAGAATGAGTTATTAACAGTGAATTTTTTGCATTTCTTATGGTTCTAGGGGCCTCATATACAGTATATAAATATATATTGTGACATTTATGCATTTCAGTTCTCTATTATGTTTTGAAACTTTATTTGCTATTTTTTCATATCACTTCATATTATTATTTTTTAAACAATTTCTTAGTGATTTCTTCCTCAGTACTTCAACTGTCCTTTTGTTCTTTTATTTTTCTCTTTCATGGATGCCATGTTCTTTGGAAGCTTGTTTAGACCAAGTTAATGGCCTTTAAGGCTTCTTCCATGTGAATAGGAATTCACTTTTTGAATAATAAGAATTATATATCACGGGGGCATCAGGATTTTAGAGATGCTTAGGTGGGGCATGGCCAAAAAGGTTGGGAACCACTGGACTAGACCCTTTAAGAGACTAAGAATGAGTTTTCCAAATCTGCCTTCTGGTTGTCATGCCCTTCCTTTCCTCTCTCTAACTGCATCTATTAAAGTATCGTCAACCTTTATCAGGGTGGATCCAACTTTTTGAAACACCTTGGACTTGGTTTTGTAAGAGATTCGTTCTATGAAACCTTCAGTTTGAATACTCTTCCTGCTCTCCACCTCCAACCAAAAAAGTCAGTTTCTGGAGAGTCATAAATTATGCTTAGGTCCCGTTTGTCCTCCATCACATACTGTATTAGTGTTAACATTGTTGGACTTCTTGCCAATCTTATTAATGTCACATGTTGCTGCCAGTGGGAATTTCGTATTGGGATATTGGGATTGCTGGTGGAGACACCAGCCGATACCTGACAGGAGACACACAATCAAATATCCTGTAAATGAGACCTGTGGCCTAGTTCAACCAGAAGAAAACCAAAACTCCAAACCAACCATCTTTGGACTGAGATTGGTACTTCTAGTCAGGGCTGGCTGCTGCAAGGAAGAGCCCAGTTGATAACCAATCATGACTTTCCCCAGGGGTTAGTGGCAGCTTTGGCTCCTGGGCTACAGGCCACAAGCAGAATTCGCCCTCATTCGCATTCTTCAGCCTCGCAACACGCAACGCCATGGCACCGGCCCCAACAAAGGCCCAGCTTCACTCTCCATTCCCAGGCCCTTCTGTATGGCCGGCTCAGAGTTTACAAAGACGCCAAACAGCCAGTGAATTGGGGTTTATGTTTCTTTTCAGTCTTTCACAAACACATTAGTGATCTGGCCTTTCCTCACCACTAGGGGAATAAGTAGTTACAAAATGCGCTGTTTTCTGTTGTTTAAATTCTGCGTTTTTGGATGTTTATTATCTGTCTATTCATAATATTTTTATTTGGAGCAAGAGCTGACTTCTCAACTATGAAGGAATGTGCTTTCTGTACGTGGCAGCCCTGCTGCTTTGACAATGATGAACACATTTAAGTTGTGCTCCACTTGTTTACAAAAGTCTCCTTTTGCTAACACATCAAAAGCATTTTTTCTCTCCACTAGTACAATGGTATATTCATGCTGGCAGGCTTTACTTAGAGGTTGGAAGCGTCACTTTATTGGTGCTTACCACAATGCAACCTGAAACTTCATTTGTTATTACTTGTAAAAAAATTGCATTTCACGGAAATCTATTTGTGGTTTGTGACATCGGAATTGTAGTTTAGAGAAATGACCCTGTGCTTTAAAATGCCGTGTTGCATTTGTTCTAGGTTGAAGGTGAAAGGTTGATGACCAAATTTGATTTCATTGATATGCTGATGTTGAAACTCCTTTTCACTAGAAAGCTTAGGTAGAAGTTCAGCTGTGGCCTGCAGTGTTCTTTGAGGACACAGACAATCTTCTGGAAATTAACCCCTGTCCTTGGACTACCTAAAGGTTGTGGATAATGTGGGCCTCATTATCCTTTCCTGCCATGCTTTAAGCACTCGAGTATAAAGTGGAGATAACATGATTACGTTTTCAATTTCATTTAATTTTACACAATAAGTATCAGGCCAAAATACAAAATCTCATAATCCCAACAAACATGCATGGCAAGAAAACAAGTACAGCATATTTTGTTTAAGAGAGTCAATGTGTGCTAAAACATTCCAGACTCTGCCAATATGTAAAAGTGACTTGAGTAATCAGTGAAGATATGCTGTGAGTACGTGGTTTGTGTGTGCTGCCTCGTGTTGTGTTTTCATCCAGAGCAGTACATCTTTTGTTATAAAATAAATCAAAGCCCTTATATTTGAAATGGGAAGTTTTTCTTATTCCAAAAATTGTATTTTTCAAACTGTCATTCTTTAAAGTCATTAGAATTCGGAGGAATACTTCTATTTGTGTTTTCTCAGGCATCTGGAAGGGTTTCCTAAAAAAATAATAATAATAATAAATAAATAAATAAATTACATGTTGGTATGCCAGGATTTTAAGTGATGTATATTTTTGACTTGTAAATGGAACCTGAAATGAAAAGATCCTAGGAAGTCTGAGAGAGCTGGCATGTTATTCTGCCTCCAGCTTTTGGTTTGTTAGCTGGGAGCTAGCTCAGAGCCTCACAGTGACAGCCACTGGCACATGTAGTAATGAAAAATTAGTATAATGGAAGATTCCTGATTGGGTTTCCTTGCTGGAGAATGAAGCATTCATCTGGCCACTTCACACTTTAGGGAGCTGGCAATACATAGTGACTTAGTATAGTTTGGCGTAATAGAAATAGATATAAAAACATTAATTATGATGTATGCCTTCGCCTTCCTCCCCCAGGAAACAGTAAAATAATCAGACTGATTACCTAAGGGTGAACTAATTATTTACTTTTTATGCTGTATTATTCTTCCCCAAACCTCATGTTAGATGCAATGCTAATGGTGGCGGAGAGGCTAGAGGGCCCTTTCAACATTGAATCAGTCATGGATCCCATCGATGTGAAGATTTCTGATGCCATTATGAACATGCAGGACAATAGTATACAAGTGTCTCAGAAGGTAATGAAGGCAGGATTTTAGAAAAGGGAGCTGGGGGCCCCCTCCAGTTTGTGATGTGACTTCCCTAATATGATCATGCTGCTCCAATGCAGGTTTTTCAGGGATGTGGACCCCCAAAGCCCCTCCCAGCTGGACGCATTTCCCGTTCCATCTCTGAAAGTGCCTTTAGTGCTCGCTTCAGACCATATCACCCTGAGGAACGCCCAACCACAGCAGCTGGCACTAGTTTGGACCAACTGGTAAGCACTTTGCCAGGAATGGCCATGTTTAATGACAAAAAACTGAAAATATTTGTTCAAAATACATTTTTAGTTGGAAGGCTTGCAAGTGTGGGCCTTTCAGGCGAAACTTTTCAAGCAAATTGAATGTGTCAGTAAATCTTCTTCATTTCTAGCTGAGAAAGTTCATATGTAGTCTAGAAAATGTGATGCAGTAAGTCTTAATTTCAACTCCTTCCCCCCTGTTGTTTTACCATGCATTTACTAAGCATCTACTATGAGCCTATCACTACTGTGGCATTTACAGGGTGGCTCAGAAGAATAAGATAGGTCCTTATGCTAAAAAAGCCCCAAAAGAGAGGGAAATGCAGACATTCCAGCTTACTAACTAAGGTGATATATATAGTTAATAATAAGCTGGGAGAAGGATAAGAAAATGTAAGCAGGACTGCATTATACACAGCAATGTGCTTCAAATCTAGTAGTAGGAAAGAACATAGAGGAGGAGACGGAGAGCAGGGAAAGGTAAGTATCACAGAGTGGACAATATATAAGTTTGAGCTTGAGCATAAAAGTCTTGTGGGAAGAGTCTGTGTCTTATTGTATCTACAGGGTATGGAACCTGGTGGGCCTCAGATGGTAGTATCAATGAAGAGGTAAGTGGACAGTGGATCCAGGCAGCTCAGCTCCTTCCGAATATTTCAACTTTTAATTTATTTGAGTGATTTTGTAGTTCTAAGTATAATTTGATCTTCATTTTTCTCTGGTGACTAAAGTTGAAAATGAATTGCATGTCATTCTGGAGATACTTTAGAAATGATCAAAAGGCACATCTATAAGGTAGTTTTGTGTTGCTTTATAGAGGTCTCTCTGTTGTTTTTCTTAATTAGGTTACTGATGTCAAGGAGAAACTGAAGCAGGCCAAGAAGTTCTGGTCCTCTCTACCAAGCAATGTTTGCAATGATGAGAGGATGGCTGCGGGAAATGGCAATGAGGATGACTGCTGGAATGGAAAAGGCAAAAGCAGGTTAGCCTTAGTTGCATGGAGTTGCAATCTCTCTCTTCCTAAATGCCTGGGTAACCTTCAGGGAGGGTTTCCTCAGTTGTCAATCAAGAAGCAATTCAGGGTAGGTAGCAACAACATGGAAGGCTTCTAGAGTTTCTTAGGAATGGGTTGTACTGTAGAAGTTTTGGGAAGGTACCCACTTACTTGTACTGGGGCAAAACTTTGTGATAATAGTCATATACTAGCTTTAGGACCCCCACCAGGGATCAAGCTGTTCCAATAGTGTCATATAAAAATATTTAATACCTGTGGTCCTTTGCCCAATGGCTTGGCCTCATAAAGCTCTAGATCCATTCTCTTATTTGACGATGCCCTGTGTCCCTCCCTACATACTCAGTAACTTAAATAAGTATCCACACTTCAGTACTTTACTCTGGTCCACCAACCTCTGCAAAATGGGTAGCTTTCAAAAGGTCATGGTCAAGTTGGAGAAACAAGATGTAAAAAAAAAGATGTATACCCAGATAAAGGAAAAATTCAAGTTCATTTAGAAATAGAAATTAATTGTACTCAGTGCAAATACTAGGATCTAGGCAGAAATCTTTGATCTTGTGCAACTTTTTGTCTTACTGATAATCTCAATGGGGTCATTTTTCATCTCAGGTACCTATTTGCAGTGACAGGAAATGGATTAGCCAACCAGATCAGTAATCCGGAGGTCCAGGTTGACACCAGTAAACCGGACACAACGATCCTTCGTCAAATCATGGCTTTGCGGGTTATGACCAATAAAATGAAGAATGCTTACAATGGGAATGATGTGGACTTCTTTGATATCAGTAAGCACTTGTGGTTCTAAAGTACAAATTGTTCTTGTACACCTTATGATGAGAACAAGTGGAATGAAATCTCTGTTCTGTTTTTTGTTAATAGGCGATGAAAGCAGTGGAGAAGGAAGTGGAAGCGGATGTGAGTATCAGCAGTGCCCTTCGGAGTTTGAGTCTAACACAACTGACCACTCTGGGAGGAATGCCAATGATAAAGCCAACCACGCTGGTGCCCGTGTTGGAGCTCAGCCCTACCTCCTCACTGTCTTCTGCATCTTGTTTCTGGTTATGCAGAGAGAATGGAGATAATTCTCAATCTTAGAGAAAATGTGTTCATCATCAGAAAGTTAAAAGGCACCAGTTATCACTTTTATACCATCCTAGTGACTTTGCTTTTCAAATGAATGGACAACAATGTACAGTTTTTACTATGTGGCCACTGGTTTAAAAAATTCTGACCTTGTTCTTTCATTCAGTTTTGCGGGAAAAAGGGACTTGTACATAAAGTAAGTTCCTGATTCCCCAGAATCATGTTAAACGTGGCTAGCGGTGTAGGTACAGAACTGTAGTTAGTTGTGCATTTGTGATTTTATCACTCTCTTGTTTTTCTTTATTGTTTGTTTTTGTTTGTGGGTTTTTTTCTTCAATTATGATCTCACCTTGTTTCTTACAAGAAAACCAGGGTCCTTTCTTGGCATGTAACATGTACGTATTTCTGAAATATTAAATAGCTGTACAGAAGCAGGTTTTATTTATCACGTTATCTTATTAAAAGAAAAAGCCCAACAAGCAGTAAAATTTCCATGTATCCCTGTTGTTTTAGTTGCCTTATCTGGAGAGAAGAGGAGATGATTTTGTTTGTTATTATTAAGTTAGGACAGAATGTGAAGGCACAAAGGGGTTTCTAATCCACTTGTCAGGTTGTATTCAAGCATCAGTATAAGAAGAATGTTATATTTCACTTATAGCTGGTGACTGGAAGAGACTGCAGACTACCCATCTCGGTTGAGTTGAATTGCATAAACTTAAGATCACATATAGGTTCACTTGAACCACCTAAAATGTAACCCATTTAAAAGATTCTTGATACATTTTCCCTAGAAATATATAAGGCCATATAAGGTGTTTGAGTTATCACATATTCTCACATTGTTTAGGGGTGGGTTTTCTTTTGTTTTTTATCCAGTCAAGTTAACAAGTCACCGTGTGCTGATCTTCGTGGCCACACGTGACCCTCTTTGAATTGATACCCCAATGGCAGAAATAAGTGACTAACATCTCATTTGGTACCCCTTGTTACAGTGTTCCAGATTTCAAACCCAGCCACAGAGAGGGAGCTGTCTGGGGGATAGAACTGGGGTGGGTATACAGCCTGTGCTCAGGGAATAGCATTAACACTTAAGCAAAGTTTTTGTCTGTGCATTGTGTTTACATTCATTTTGGGATCCCAGTTTTTTAAAGGAAATTCTAAGGTGTCTTACGTGTTTTTCTTGCTCAGCACCCTGTGATCAGAAAGGCAACCGACTTTCAGTGGTTCATAGCTGTGTGCTACCCCATCAACCAAAAAACTCACTTCGGGGGAGATCTAGGTGTCCAGATTTTTTAATGTTTTCTTGTTTTTTTGGGGGGGGGGGTAGTGAAGAGAGTAAAGCTGAGAAGACTACATCTTAGCGGTGACCCTTAGCCATGTGGGTGAACTGGCTTAGGCCTATATGTTGTCCCAGGCCAAAGACTAACAGCTGGCTTGGCCCCTTAGGAACCTTTTTCTTGTGTCCTTACCAAATGACAGCTCATAAAACTATGAGAATGTAACAAATCACTTTGAAAGGAGTTCCCAAAAGTCCTCAGAAAGAAGAAAATTCTGCAAGTCCCTTCCTGCTTTAGACAGCCATTAAGATCCCAACAAATTCTACAGAAGTTAAAACCCACAGAGAGGTTGTTCGTGTTATTGTTCAATCTTCAGTTGTAAGAGTAATTCTCTATTTTTATATTGAAACATAATTACTTGATAGCTCAGGGTCTACATTTCATTCAACTTTTTACACCAAATTCTGCAGAATGGTCAAAATGGAATATTGGGGGCTGTTGTAAACAGAGGCTTAATTTTATTAGAAGTAGTCAGTTATTTATTAAAGCATGATGTTAATAAAATAGGCATATTCTGGCTGGTGTGTATAAGTGGTTTTTTTTAAAACAATTCACAGAAGACAAAATTGAAAAGGCACTCCATTTATGTATGAGGAAAAATGGATTGTAAATAGCTAAGCTGCCTTGTGAGAACTTGGAAAATGTGCTGATACTTAGTAACTACCTCAGTTGTGAGGAATTTCCTTTTTAGCTTAGACTGCTATTACTTTTACTTGGTAGAAATGAATCTGGTCTCCAAAATGTGGCTCAAAGAGTTATCCCCATAGACCTTGTTAGATTGTTTTTAATTTAAAACCTTGAACTCTGCCCAGCTGTTTTCTTTCAGTCAAGTTCTCTAAACCAATAACATTTTCCGAATTAAATGTTCTTGAAGGTTCTTCTGGACTCTTACTGATTTGTTTTCTTTCTTTGTATTTTTTCTGTTACTCTTTTATTATTTAAATTGTCTCTTGCTTTTGAACTTGAACTATGAAATAAACAAATCGTAGATTTTTCCATTCAGGTCTGACTGGATAACTCTTGGCTTCTTACCAGCTGGCAGGCTCACTCTTTCCCCCCACCAAAAGAAAGAATAAAGGCAAGTTGAATATTTTAAAACCTGAAGAGTTCACAGTATGAGGTAGAATAAAAGCTATGTTAGGAGAACTGACTTTTCTAAAGCCTCAGTTAATAGCATGTGAAGGGTTTGTGTTTTACAAAGTCACTTCTAAATTATTTTTCTTTCAAACCCTTCACCCACTCTCTATCTTAAGAAAAAATGTTTTGTGAGTCTTAGATTTATATTTTCTTTCAAAAGTAGTAATTAGCACCTATTATTTTGATAAAAGAAAAAGTGCAAAGAATTGACTTGCATCTTTTAACTTTAGAGCATATTAGAAATCTAACAGTTTATACATGAAGTAAAATTTATCATTTGTGATTATAGAACCAAAAGAATTAAGTGTAGATGGTTCTGCATAAAATTCTACTTTTCCATTTGTGTTGTGAGAGTCTGCATAGCTAAAGGGTAGTATGTTAATAACAGTATCTACTACAGGAGCGTGTGTGTGTGTGTGTGTGTGTGTATGTGTGTGTGTGTGAGATCACTCAAGCAAATGCCAAATTACCAAATACAACTTTCAGTGGAAAAAAAACATAACAGCATTCCATGATACACTTTACAAATTAAGTTTCTACTTCTAAACTCAATATTTTCTTCTAAGAATTCCATATATATATATATATATATATATATATATATATATATATGGAAAATATTTGAAAGATGACCTATGGTAATATAGGAATTCAAGTCCACCAGTAAGGCAATATTTACTTTTCTAATTTAGATTTTAAGTAGGTAATATATTACCAGGGTTTAATATATATAAAGGTATAGAGTGAACATTTCCCTTTCAATTCTGCCCATCTGCCAAGTTATCCTCATACCCTAAATAAACGTAGTTTATATGCATCTTCTTCCAAAGTTTCTTTTTACATATACAAGTAAATATGAATATTTTTCTCTTTTTTACACGAAATGTAGACTATTATACTCTATAATGTTTTATGTTTTATTTTAACTTAAAAAAGTATTTAGAGGAAGGTGGCTTCCAAAAGATACAGATGTCTATTTTAAAGGCATGGCTTCTCCGTGGTACCACATTTTGGATTTTTACTGCATTTTACACAGATTAGGTAATTTTCCAAGAAACAAACATTGAATTGAACGAGGAGCAGTTTGGCATTATAGTTTTATAATCCCGGAGTGCACAATTAAGATGTTCTCTGTTCATGATAAAGTTAATTTTTGGTAGTTTCCATATTGTCCCCAGTGAAGAAGACATTGGCCAAAACAATTGGGTGCATACTCTTAGAATACAGTATATTAACACCACTATTAATGATTGATTCAAAGTAAATGTGTCCTGGAATTTACTCATTCTATTAGAATGCAGTACTTTTAATGTTTTCTCAATCCCAAATGCCTTGAAGCAGCATCAACTGTCACACAGGATAAAGATGTAATTAATATTAGGAAAATTTGCAACTAGATCTTGGTTACCGCATGAATTATCTGTCCAATCGTAAAGGAGTCATTAAAATATGTAAGTAACTGTACAAGTTCAGTTTTCATGTAAGATTGCATTTTTGCTCATCAATGTTTCAAGAGACTTCTAAGTTCAGCAATAATCAGTAAAATCTACAGAAATCCATTTCTCAGCATGAGTGTCCACATGTGGAATTAAATGTATGATTTACTCTGCTTTGGACATTTCTTAGAGAAATGTTAAGAATTCTGGAAATAGCACAGTATTGTTGGAAGGAAAAAGGTTTTCATGCATTAATCCTACCAGGTAAAAGCTGATGGTGTGGTTAAAGAATGAAGATTAAAGCCTGGGAGTGATGACCTAAGGTACTTTTCTAAAGGGTCTTATGGTCTTGTTCTCTGGGCTTTGGGGAAATGTTGCAACAGCTTCCTTGCCACTCTATAATATTTTGTTTCTTACATGACATGGTTGGAAGTGTGTGTGTGTGTACACAATCATCTACATACAGAGATTTTTTGTGTATTTTCAAACACTTAATCCCAAGTAGACAGGTAGACCTTACCTTGTCACTTATGGGCTGCCTTACCCCTGCTGACAGTGGTGTGTGCTTGGGGAATGCAGGCTAATTTTAATGATAGCCTAAGGGAAACATAATTAGGAAGGTTAGTCTCCTGCCAAGAAAAAATACACGTGCGCGCGCGCATACACACACACACACACACACACACACACACACACACACACACACAAAATGCATTCCAAATAGTTTTGTTTTGTTTTTTAGATTTACCACTGCCTGGGATTTGCTTTTCTTTATCACCGTAGATAACCTAAAACTGATGGTAACATGCTGTTCGTGGTGACACTGCTCAGAGCAGTTAGGACCTGAATGGCCACAAAGGAATAATCATGGTCAGTGGGTGATTTTCTGAATACACATTAGGATCTCAACCCTCTTTCACTGCATTTGCCTTTAAAGGTCTTCAATGCCCTTGCTCTCACCTTTCTTTTAAAAATAATGAAAAATTACTACTTTGCAGTTTCAGTTCTGAATACTTTACAGTAAGTAGCAGGAGCAACAAACAGTTTTGGGGACATACTATTTACTGTAAAATAAATAGTTATCTGTAGTTTTACCCGTCATCTCTCAACCAAGCAGTGAGGTGGGATAGAGCTGTGTGCCTGGCAATAAGTCCAGGCCAGGTTGATTATCTCATGCAATCCTGCATAGTATAAATTGTTCCCATTTTGCAGATTTCTGAGAGGACTTGAAGTTAGGTCATTTGCACAATGGGTGACAATTAAGAAATGCAAGAAGCAGATTTGGAGCAGAGCTTGATCTGCCACCAGAGCCTATTTATTTCAGGTGCTAATTTTTATTTGATTACCCTGTTCCCCTTAGTCCGTGTTATATGAATCATTAGGAAGGGACGAGCTTGTCAGGTGTGCCACATGTTAGCTATCCTGGCCCTGCAGAATGGCCAGGTTAAGGGTCATGGCAGACATTAGTTGACTTGGCTTACCTGATTATAGGGGAAGAAATCAAGGAGTACCTGGAGATAAATCTTAATGATAAATCTAATCTCACACAGCGGCTCCTTGCTTAGTGTACTTTAATGCAGAAAGAGCTCAGATGATTGTGCATGGGGACCATGTGACCTCTGCTAGTTCTAGAAGAGCTGATAATTAAACCAAGTGATCCTGTTCTTCCTCTCCAGGACACCCTCATATCACCCTGTGTGGAAGGGCACTGCATTGTTGGGAAGGGTCAACTTGCTGAATACTTAAGCAAACACAGTCAGTTGAGAAAAATACCATGGTTTACACAGGGAAAATTCATACCTGCTTGATCACTTGGAGCTTTGTAAGGAGGTAAATAAACCTTGGGATAAGTAAGAGACAGTGGATATAATTGGGCTTTTTTTTTTTTTGAAAAAACAAATTTTTATTGTCTAGAAATGTATATAAAAAGAAATTTCCCACAAAAGATGCTATTCTCTCATTTCTCCATCTTCTTCCTCTTCTTCAACACCCCTGATATAAAGGACATTATTACACCTTATTAAAACTTCACCCAGGTGTCCTGACAAGGCTCCATCTATGTATTCTTCTGTGTTTGCAAGCTGCATGTTCATATAGCCATCTACAGATACCAGGTAGCCTTTGTACTCCATTCCCCACGTAAGTTTCACCATTACTGGCTTTCCTGTTAATCCGTTGAGGAAAGGTTTGGGATCGAGGGGCAAACTCATCGTGAGGATGAGCAAATGCTGTAGGCTACTCGCCGCCGACCCAGCTCTTGTCCGTCCCTGGTGCTTGAAGCGCCTACCCCAGCTCGGACCGCGAGAAAATCTAATTTGGGCTTCTTAACTCGGGACCAGATTCCACCTTAAAATTTACACCTGGTAGAATTAATATGAAGATATCCATGCTACACAAAGCAATCTATAGATTCAGTGCAATCCCCATCAAAATACCAATGCATATTTCACAGATCTAGAAGAAATACTCCAAAAATTTATGTGGAACCAAAAAAGACCCTAAATAGCCACAGCAATCTTAAGAAAGAAGAACAAGGTTGGAAGGATCACAATACCGGATATCAAGTTATACTACAAAGCCACTGTAATCAAAACAGCCTGGTATTGGCACAAGAACAGGTATATAGATCAATGGAACAGAACAGAACCAAGAAATCCACCCAAGCCATTATGTTCAATTACTATTTGACAAAGAGGTAAGAGCATACAATAATGTGAAGAAATCCTCTTCAATAAATGGTGTTGGGATAATTAGGCAGATATTAGACCACCAACTTGCACCATACACAAGAATATACTCAAAATGGATAAAATAATTAAATGTAAATCGTGAAACCATAAAAATCCTAGAAGAAAACATAGGTAGCAAAGTATCTGACATCTCACATAGCACAATTCTCACAGGTACATCTCATAGGGCAAGAGAAACAAAGGAGAAAATAAATGGGACTACATCAAAATGAAAAGCTGCACAGCAAAAGAAACCAGCATCAATTGAAAGGGAACCCACTTATGGGACACCATACTTGCCAGTGATACATCTGATAAGGGGTTAATTTCCAAAATATGTAAAGTACTCATGCAACTAAACAAAAGAAAGACAGCCCAATTAAAAAATGGGCAGAAGACCTGAATAGATAACTTCTCCAAAGAGGACATATAAATGGCCAAGTGACATATGAAGAAATGCTCAACATCGCTAATGATCAGTGAGAAGAAAATTACAATGTGGTACCACCTCACACCTGACAGAATGGCTATCATACTGGTGAGGGTGTGGAGAAAAAGGAACTAGACACTAGACCATTTGGTCTAGTACACTGTTGAAAATGCAGACTGGTACAACCACTATGGAAAATGGAGTTTCCTCAAAAAAATTAAAAATGGAAATGCCATGTGACCCAGTGATCCCACTTCTAGGAC